AGTCCTAAGTTCAAAGTCTCTTCTGAGATTCATTCAACCACTTAACTTGTGTTTTTAACCCTCAGTCTTCTTGCTGGGTGACTTTTCTGCCTTCCAGGATTCAGGTTGAGCCCCCAAACTGTGAATTCAGTTGCAAAGCGATATAGCACCAGCGGGAAGATCACCTTTGATGACTATATTGCCTGCTGTGTCAAACTGAGGGCCCTCACAGGTTTGTCCCTGAAGCCATTCAGCATTACCAAAGATCCTTTTTTTAATGGCATTTGTCATTTCTCCATACCGCTGAACTTCTGTTCTGCCCAGGTGTTTTTTGTTTGTTTGTGTGTTTTTTTGTTTGTTTGTTTTTTATGGTTTTGGAGGTGCTTTAGCAGACCCTTAGCACAGCTATTAAATGGAGCATACTATGTTATTCAGAGGGTTTTATTTTTAAATGAGTGAGTAATCATAATCCATTTTATTAAAATGCTGCAGATGTAGCTGTCTGTTTTGTAAGTGCATTTGTTTGTGGTGCTGGGCCTACGGAGGACTCACACATGCTCTGGGCCACTGTGCTACTGCCACAGCCTGAGCTGCACAGTATCTGTCTCAGAGTGCAGTTATGAGTAATCCTCCTCAACTGTGGGATATTCGCAAAGAATAAAATTAAAGTGAGTCATTTTTGGCCAGCAGGGCTGAGTTGGTGGGATATTTGGTCACAGCCCACTTATCATATCAAGTTCTGTTATCCATCTGCTTCCTTGCTTAAGCAGTGTGCATGCTATCACAGTGTTCAGAATCCCGTGCTTTCACAGTTAAAGGGCCTTGAAGGCTAAACTGCTTTTACCAGCCGAGGTCAGTCATTTGTCTTAGATCTACATGGAAAATGACCATTGGCCACTCTCTGTCACTGTTACATATTTTCTTTGACCTTACCTTGAGTGGTTGTAGAATTTGCTTGTTATTGACATTTGGTCCCAATGCTAAATAGTTAGCTGCAGTGAGTTTAGAAAAGCCTAAAAAACTACATTTTACTATGTTGTTTTGCAGATAGCTTTCGCAGACGAGATTCTGGTCAACAAGGAGTTGTGAATTTCTCGTATGATGATGTAAGTCTCTGTAAATAAGGGCTAAGTAGAAGACACACTGGACACAAATGGGATTCCCTTCTGAAGTTAGTTATTAAGAATGTGGACATGGTGGCTCACGCACTCAGGAGGCTGATGCAGGTGGATTGCTATGAGTTCAAGCCAGTCTGAGCTACGCTTATAAGACTCTGCCTAAAACAAGACAATAACAACAATCCCAGAAAATATAATAGGACATGCCTGTAATCCCAGCTGAGGCTGGAGGATTACTTTAAATTCAGGCCAGTCTGTTGCACTGATTGACTAGCTCAGAAACAGTTCTCTGGTTACTCTGAGACTGAGCGAAGTGGGTGTCATGATAATGGTAGCTCTTTCAGCTTGGGTGGTAGCTTGGTTTCAAATAACCACGAGGGTCTCAGGTCAGTCCTCAGAACACATGTGCGGAAGGCTGAGTGAGGTAGCCCCAGTGCTGTGGAGGCAGAGACGGGTGGGTGATCCCAGGGCTTGCCGACCATCCAGCCTAGCCTGCTTAGTGAATTCTAGGCCAATGGGAAACACTCTCAAAAGGAAGATAGCGCCTGAGGTGGCCCTTTAACATGCACATGCATGTGCACCCCAATGCATACCATGTACCACACATACACATCCTGACACACAGATTACACCACATACACACATCCTGACACACAGTGTGCACCACATACACACATCCTGACACACAGATTACACCACATACACACATCCTGACACACAGATTACACCATATATACATCCTGACATACAGCATGCAACACATATACACATCCTGACACACAGTGTGCACCACATATACTCATCCTCACACACAG